CACCTCAGCAATCCACATCCCCATGTAAGTGGCTGCGAGTCACAGGGAACATCTGAGCCCCAGAGACTCCACAGCGTGGGAGCCCTGGGACATGTACTGGAGCCACATAGAGGGATGGTGAGCACCTGAGAAGAAAGCAGTGGATGGCCTGGGTGTGGGCAGAGCCAGCCTCATGGCTGAGCAGGGGCTGTTTCACCATCCGAGGGGTCCCTGGCACAGGCAGGTACAAGCCTGCTGGCCCACCCCTCACAAGGCTCCAGCTGGCAGCGCAGACACCCATGAGATGCCAGGTGGGACAGGAGGGCTCGGATGGCTGGAGCTGCCCTCTCCCAGCACAAGTAACCTACAGCACTGCGCAATGCCCCATCCTCTCTCCTGCAATTTGACTTCTCCAGTCTGGGTGCTGAGCTCCCATGACCAGATGTCTGCAAACCCAGCAGCTCGAGGAGTGCTCTGCACAGCCTGATGGATCCTGCCCCATTAGTGAGGAGCACTGGAATGTGCTGGATGGACTGGGATCCCTCAAAGATGTTAAATACGCCAGCTCTGGGCTGCCTCCCACTCACAGCCTGTGAGAGTCAACATCCCTGACTGAAGCCCCAGAGGTGTTGGCATCCTGCCTATAATTATCTAAGCCCGCCACCTTCCCCCGTCGAAGAGGAAGCAATAAAACAGGGAAGTGGACAAGCCCAGCTGCTCTAATCAGCCCCGGCAGGATGCACGGACTCAAATCCAAGCTGGAGGCTATTAGCACCCAGCACTGGGCTTTTGCTCAGCCACACTGGCATTCCCAGGAGAGTCCTTCCCTGGCCCCGTCCTGCGCAGACCAAATCCTGCCCCATGGGTGCAAGGGTTCTCCTAACCTGCACTGAGGGCAGCTCCTTGCTGCCACTGGTCAGGGAGTGGATGGGGTCCTGCTCTATTCCCAGAAGGTTCCAGACCTGGGACACATGCCACCACTTTTGGTGGGGTTGTGTTCCCCCAGTGGGAGTGGGGCCAAGGGCAGCTGATGCCTCTTTCCTGACCCTGGGCTGATCCCACTGGTCACCCTGCCATGCCTTCCTGCAGCAGGAGGCTCATCTGCATGCATAGACTGTTCCCAGTTTGCACCAGAGGACTCAGCAAGTGGCTCCTCTGCTCTGGTTTTGCTGCGACTGACCTCGCACCCCCTTTCCTGGGGCCTCTTTGAGTTGTTTACTCATCCTACGGTGTCTCTCTGCAGGAATTACAGTAAGACACTGTGGTGACTGGTATGGTATGAAAACCTAGACAAGACAGACAGACGGACATCTCCTGTAGTCCTTAAAGCCTTCTCCGCTTATGAGGTGTTCCTTAATTGTTGTCAGACTGAGCAGGCCGGTCACAGCCCTGGCCCCCAAATCAGCCGAGGTGGAGGGACCCTGCAAAGTCCCTGTCCCCTACTCAGTTGCTAAAGGTGCGAGCCCAGTCCCTCTGACCTGTGGGGAGAGGAGAGCTTGCTGCAGGCTGTGCTGGCCAGGTAGAGCCATGGGCTCTGACACAGCACAACAGTAGCAGCTGGGTTTTATAACACAGTCAAAATGTGTTCATCAGGGAAAATAAAAACAGTTGTTCATAATGATCATGATTCTGCACTAGTGAAAATGACCCTGGAAATGCAACTATCACAATGTTGCAAGCAACATTTTTGGGCACTGGCAGCGAATGGAACAGGATATTGCAGCAGGAGAGCCCTCCTCAGCAGGCATGACACCAGCCCTACTCTGGCTGGTTTGGTACCTCCTGGCTGCTCTCTCTTTCTCCTCATCCTCAGGAGCAAGTGTCAGGGAATACCCAGGTTATGCACTGCTGCCTTTGGGAACGGACAGATGGCAGCCTGGAGATTGCCGGCTGCTTTAGAAAGGCTTTGCACAGCAGTGCCTTCCCCTGCCCCATGCATCCATCCTGCGTCCTGGCACACCTGCACAGCCCATGCCACACTGCAGCCCCCAGCCTCTTCCCTCCCGCCCCACTACACGTGCCCCCCTGGGGCCAGGCACTATCCTGCCTGCTCTTTCTTCCCATCCCATGCATTTAGGCTGGGAGCACAGCCGCCCCCAGCATCTGCCCCCCATCCCTGCCCACGCCAGCTCCCCTAGGAGCCATGAGCTGTGCCAAGGCTGGGCAGCATGGGCTTGGTGCCCCCTCGCAGACCGTTTTTGCACTCACGCACTTTCTGGATTTTCCTGATCTGGTCTGAGAGTGTGTCTAACAGGCGCGTTTTCAAGAAGTCGGTCACTTTGGCCACTCGGCCATCAACGTAGTAACTGGAAGGAAAAGAAGATGACAAGGATCAGATAGATAGGAGTAGCTCTGTCCCAAACCATATCCTTCCATCCCACTGCTGCCCCACGCCAAGAAAACTCCTCTGCTCCAAGGGAGTCCCTGCTTGCACCTTGGCCTGGCCCTCTGGCCATGCCTGTGTCTGGCAGATGTTTTCAGTCTCCAAAATGGGGTGTGATGTGGATGCTCCCTGAATGCTGAGCATCCTGCACTGAAGAAACTGTGGGAAGTTTTGCACTTGCTTTACTATTGCTGGTGAAACACTGGGAGCAGAATGCAAAAGGCTGGGAGCAAAATGCCACCTGCAAAGGCTTTGCAGTGCCCTGTGTGCTGATCTCATGGAGACCCCATGGAAAGAGATGCTCTGACATGACCTTGTGATAGCAGCACCAGGACTCCACCACCATGGAGATCTTGGGAGATCTGCTCACCCAGCTTGTCCTGTCTGTACCCATCCCCTGTCTTAGGGACACCCTGTTTCCAAAAGGCAGAAAAGCCTGTCAGCATGGGCCCAGCATCACTGCTACCAGAAAAATTGCTTTTATGGGATGGCAAAATAGAAGATGCACATCTAATGGCTGAAATGAAGGACTCCTTAGCCACAGGAGGACTCCATGTAGGCACCAGGGAGGAGAAGGTTCCTGAGCAGCTAACACCCTCTGAGACACACTTGAAATTGCTGCAGTAAACCCCTGGGAGGGGACAAGGGAGTCTGCCTGTGCTCCCAGACATGGGAATAGCTGCATTGCTCTGCTCAGGTCACGGGACACTCTCCATTCAGTGCCTGGTCTGCAGGGAGGCCTGCAGACTGCTCCTGGATGTCCTTGCTGCAGTAACAACCCTCCTGGCGAAGCTCTGCCCACATTTCTGAGCAAGGATTCATGCCCTGCTCTTGGCACCCCTGAACACCTGCACCCTCCTTGCAAAGTCCACAGCTGAACCCCTCACTCATGAAACACCACTCTCATCACCTGCAGGGGATGTCCTGCTCTCACAGATATCCTGTCTGCCCTGGGAATGTCAGGGAGCATTTCCCATGCAGACAGCTGATTCCTGCTCTCCATGTGCTTACTTATATAAAACACAGCTATAGCCTTGCCAACCGTGATGTGAATCATCTGCTGCTAAGTGTGGGAGGAAGGCTTTGAAATGCCTCAATCCAGGACCTAAGGTGGTCTGTTCTCGAGTGCAAAAACCCTGTGGCTGCAGGTAATCCCAGCCAGCTCCTGTCTGGGGCTGGCACCTCTGCCCCCACAAAAGGAGTCCTTGCAATCTCCCAGGGGGTCCTCTCAGCCTTGCAGGGACACAAGGGACACCCCTTGCTGGGGTGACGGAGATGCACAGGAATTACAGCAGCTCTGGCTGGGGCTGGCAGGGCTCAGCCATTGCCTCCCATCCCTCACTGCAGTCATGTCCACTTGGAGCTCACCAGAGTTACACAGACCCTCCTCCCTCTCCACATACTTCAGTGCAGCCATGAGTGCTGGGGTGCATAATGGGCTGAAGACCTGTGGTGTGAAGAAAGATGGATTCACCTTTCCAGGGCTGATTTCTTCATAACATCCATCTTATCCTCACCAGCAAGCAGCCACAGCGGCCAGAGTGGCTGGGTCACCTTGGGGTTGGGTGCTGGAATACAGGAGCATCCCCAGAAGATGCTGTGGGCTAACTCAGCCTCAGCCAGAACACCCAGCACATGTGCAACACGCACAAATGCTCAGAGAGGATTTTTGCATCTCAACACTCCAAGTCACTCCCCAGGTAACAGGGTAAATGCACTTGGAGCTGCACAGAGCTGTGGTGAAAAGGAAGCAACGCCAGCACTAACTGTCCCAGAACAGGAATGTATTACAGGCTCAACTTGCAAATCCATTAAATGAGAAGAACCTACTCTGACAACCCTCCCCCAGGAGCATGGTCCCAGCTGTGTCCCCAGCAAAGCACGAGATCATGCCAGTCACACTCCAGCCTCACTCCATGTTGTAACCCAGGGATGGAGGAAAGAGGCATTTCAGTATGTCCATGTCAGCTGGAAGGTGCTAAGGGCAGAGATTATCTCCTTCAGGCACTTGGGAAGCATTCAGATTTGTTCCAGTCACTTAAACACTATCAAACCACTGACTGCTGGGAGGAGAGCAGATCTGTAAGCAGCAGGCAGTGGTGAGGTTTACAGAGACTACTTTTAAAGAAAAAAATACAAAGCAATGGACCCTGGGGATGGCAGATGTTTGGATTTTAGCACAGCACTTAAGAACTGAACAGAAACTTTTTTTCCCAGACTGCTGTGGACTAAAAACCCCATTATCTGGGCTGAAAACTGGCTGAAAGGCCATAAAGAGAAGGCTGCATTAACTGGGAAAAGATGGAGTTAGAGGGACCTCAGTCTGTGTGTAGCCCCTCCAACACAGCAGGATTTCTGCAGGGTTCAGCTTGTCTGTGCAAGCCAGATCTGGACATCCGCCTGGCAAGTTCTCAGACACCAACAGGTACTTTCTACCTCCCCATACTGGGAAAGGGGGAAAATGGCACCAGCTGCACGAGGCTTGTGAGGAAGAGAAAGGCTCTGGAGTCTGCGCTGCCTTGGTACCAGGCTACTTGGGAGCAAGTGAGCTGCTTCCAGCTGTAGGCTTCATCACTGAGATTCAGAGACTTACTTTTGAAAATGTCAACTGTTGGAAAAGGCAGTATAGAAATCTGCAAAACACAAACAACTGACAGAGCTTTAAGGCAGGAGAAGTGCTTGTTAGGCATGGATTATTCCCAGGAGCAAAGGCTGCAGCTTTGCTGATATTTACAATGACTCAGTGCACTTGACCCTCAAAAAAAACCCAAAACCCTGAACAGTCGCAACTCTCCAACCTCCGAAAAGGCCAGCAGCAGCTGCAGAGAGCTCCAGTGCTGACAAGTACCTCCCCAGGCAGCAGCACAGTGCACAGGCAGCCAGGTCAAGCCAGCCCTGGGGCCATGGTATCCACATCCTCCTCTCCCCATGCTGGTGAGGTCTGAGTGCCAAAGAAAAAGAATAGACAGACCGTCCCCAGAGCGGGCAGGGGTCTCTGGCAGCCACACTCTGCAGAGGCAGAGGACATGTAGCTCAGGGACAAGCTATTTGTCTCCAGCACAGGCTGCCAGATCTTCCAGTGGGCTCTGGATAGGATACAGCACTAAAGTTGGCCCCAAAGCCTAGGAGATATCAGCATGCCCACCTTGGGCACAGACCATGCCCTTTCTCATAACACAGGAGTGAACAGATATGGGCAATTACATGCAGAGTTGACTTCTTGTGTCCCCCAGTTTGATACCACTGTGTCTGCAGACAGACAATCTGCAGGAGCGTAAGAAGAGCCAGCCAAGGAAAAGAGGGATCTAGTAACTAAATCCTAGATGAGACACATGTATCAGAGGAAAGGCCATACACAGCCACTTTGGGTGCCCTATTATACTGCACAAAGCTGAGGCCACTTCTCCCCTTTCCGTTCACATTACCCCATTTCTAAAAGCCCCATTTGAATATGCCCTAGAAACCCGTGATGGGATCAGTGCACTTTGCAAGGGAGGTGTGACTCCATCACCTGGGATGTGGCCAAACCAGGACACAGCGCAGGGGAGGGGGACTCCCCTGTTGGGCAGGGATTTGTGCCAGTGTGAGGAAATGAACCCCAATTCCTGGCCTTCCTCCCTGGCTGGAACTGTTGCATGAGATTTGAGACACAAAGACAAGAGCTGGGAACAGTATGCCAAAAAACAAAGCTGCTGCCAAGGGGTCTGCTGAGGCTGGGTTGAGAAGAACTGCCAGTCAGAAATTACCTTGTCCTTGGGCAGGCTGCAAGACTTGGATGAACACAGGTACCCAGTACCCTTAGAGAAGGGCAGTGCCAGGCACATGGGCTCTTAGGCAACCCTGGGGCTGGCTGCACACCTCTATCCTGTCACCTCTGAGTCTTGTGCTGCCTTTAAAACGGTTTTCTGGAAAGATCCACAGTCTGCTGTGTGGGACCATGAGCATCATCCCATGCTTAATGAAGGCAGTGCACTGGCTTCTGAGCAGCTGGTTTCATTTACCTTTCCTTTCATTTTAAAGAGAAACCTTTGCCCCTATTATCTGACCTCTTCTTCTGCTACAGTTAATTACATTAAAGCCCACTTCCCAAAGCTCAGGAATTTCCGGATCTACTTTGTTGCCTGCTGCTACAGGGAGAGTCTGCTAGGAATTAGGGCACTCGCCTGCTGGGGACACCGAGTGGGGCAGGTCCCTGCCATCAGTGTGACACCCCGCTGCCACTGCAGCTGTGAAACCGGGACACCTTTGCTGACAGAGGCAGCTTCGATCCCTGAGCATCTTCTCAAGGAGAGGGCAGAGCCCCTGTATGCAACTCAGGACATGGGGCAGCCCCACTGCTCCCCCCAGAGAAGAGATGTGGGATGTGACCAATGGGCACAAAGGAGAGGCGCTACTCACATCCAGTCAACTAATAAATACACTTAAATAAATAAAATATACAAGATATGTAATAAATACACAAGGTGCCTCTGCCCCACTGCTGGGAGCCATCTCTAGCCCATGCCATCTCCCCAGCCATGCCCTGGCATTGCCTGGGACCATGCTGGTGGCCAGGGCCGTGATGCTGCCAAGGACCATGCCCTCCATCAGACAGTGCAGAGGATGGCAAGCCAGTGGGCAAAACCGTGCCCTGGCCAGGTTTATTTACAGGTGGAGGTGGGCCAGTGATTCCTTCATGCAACTCTTTCCTCCAGGCACAGCCTCCAAAGACACTGCACTCTAAGCACTCGCAGCAGGCTCATACAAGCCCAAATATATACCCTTTGTATATACATCTGTGTGTATGCACACTGGGCAACTTTCGCCTGGCACCTTTGGGAAATCTACCCACTGCTATTGCCTCATGAGCATCTCCACCTGCACAGTCAGTCAGAAGAGATGTCCCCCAAACCAAGCCCAGCAAAAGGTTTTTAAGTAGCATCTCACATGTGCCCATGTGCCTGGCATATCTGATTTGTTATACAGGGCAAATGACTTTCCATCTCGGAAGATAATTTGGCATTCTCCAAGGAGCCATAGGGACAGATGTCCACTAGCTTTGAAGATGCAAACATTTACTTCCCCCGTAAGTAATAAGAATTTGTGCTTCAGAAGCAGTATTGCATAAGGATTTGCCCATTTGTATTGGGTTTTCTGTGAGGGGTTTTTGGTTGTGTCTTTGGTAATGGGGAAAGGGCTATGGAGATGGCCCTTTAAGAAGCTACCTGAAAAGCTCCCCCTTTTCCTTTGTCAGACCCACCTCTGACCAGGGCCAAGCCAATCAGTGCCCCTGTGAATTCATGTATTTAAGGGGGGTGCAGGGCGTGCCTCACTCTCTCTCTGGCACCGGTCCTGACCAGTGCGGCCCCAGGTGCAAGTGGTGCAGTCCCGGCCTTGCCCGGCTGGGCTTGGCTGGCCCCGACCACAACTTAAGCTTAAGCCTTGCTGCAGCTTCATCCTGAAAAAAAGAGCGAGAGATGGGATCTCCAGAACCATCAGAAGAGACCTGCAGCGGAGAAAGGAGTGGGGCCCAAGAAGAACAACTGTGAAGAACATCAAGGTCAGTTTTGAAGGAAAGAAAGGAGAGGGAGGAGGAGGAGGACGCAGAACCCAGGTTTCCCCTTTGCAACCCATGGTGAGAGCTGGGTTGACTGGCCTGCAGCCTGTAGAGCTCAGCGGTGGGGCAGGGCCTGTCCCTGAAGAAGCCATGACTCCGGGCAGTATGTGCTGGAGCAGTTTGTGTGTGAGGAAACTGTGACAATGGGCAGACCCAGATTGGAGTTTTGTGGACTTGGGCTGAAGCAGTTTTGTGGGGGGGGGAAACTGCAGCTGTGGGGATGCCCATATTGGACTTATGAGGACTTTTTCTCCTGTGTGAAGGGGGCCATGTGGAAGCAGAGAGAGAGACACTGGGTTGAGTTTTTTCCTACTCCTGAGAAGCACATGCTGTGAAAACCGACTGCAAACTCCCACTCCCATCCCCCTGCGCCTCAAGGCAAAGGGGGAGGGGGAAGGTGAAGAAACCGGGAACAAAGCTGAGCCCAGGAAGAAGGGAGGGGTGGGGGGAAGGTGTTTTGATTTTAAGATCTGGTTGTATCTCCCATTGTTCTACTCTGATGTTGGTAACAAATTAAAATTGTTTTGTTTTTTATTCCTTATGATGAGTCTGTCTTTTGCCTGTGACCTGTTTAAGTGGTAAGAAGTACTTATTTTGACTAGCCCTTTTTTGGGGCATCGTGGTGCTCAGTTATGCACTGGGCCTAAACCACGACACCATTAAATATGCCAAACTTGGAGTTGTGCACAAAACTTTGTATGGAAAACGAGCCATACAGACCGAGAGAGCACACCCAGGAACAGAACTGGGCATGACTGCAGGTTTAAGTGGGCAATGAATCTTCACCATGAGCAAAGATGCCAGCACCAAGCAAGGAGATGGCTGCAGGGAGGCTTCCAAGCAGTGGAAACCTGCATCCAAAGGCTGAGGGGGTCCGCAATAAACAGAGCATTTACTCCTAACCAAACATAACAAACAAACTAAATAATCAGGGCAACGCCAAAACTCTGGGAGCCACTGTCAGTCTCACCTGCCACACCCTCCTTTAGTGGAAATTCCCTGAGCGTTTTGAAGCCATTCACACATGCCTCTCCAGCAACACATTACTTCTGAAAAGGGAGGCACACATGCTGAGTTACATATGTAAGTGGAACCATACTCCGAAAGGCTGGCGAGGTTGCTTATTTCCACCCAGTGTCATTTTTCTGTCAGATACATTTGAGATATAGTCTGTTTTCACACAGAGAATAGGGATGCCTGCAATGTATTCCCTTCTTAATTCCCTTTCTGGATCAAGAGTAGCGTTTTCAAAGGAATAACAGATTTGACAAATTTATAAGAGATATCCCAGGAGAACATTAGGGTTTGGAACAGAAATGTTCATACTTGAAATTAGACAGCAGTTTAGTTTCCTGCTAATAATTTTCTTCTTGGATACAAAGGAACTTGTTTTGTTTTGTTTTGCTGTTTGGAGCACAGGGATGAGACACTGTTTTGACATTTATTCATAAACAGTACAGAAGCCCAGCTCAGAGCTGTGGCCATTGCCAGTCCTTGCAAACACATACGAGTGCAATTTCCAGAGCTTCAAACCAGGGCTGGGGAAGTAGCAGCTCTTATGCTGCTTCTGCGGTGGAAAGGGTAAGCAGTGTCTCAGCCCTGCTCACCCTTGCGGGGAGCAGCATCAGGCCTCTCACTTGCAGGGTGCTGCTCAGCTGCGCTGAGCATCAGAGCGCATCAGTGTGGCATCAGAGGCGCCGAGCACTTTGCCCTCATCCTATAAGAAAACGTTTCAAAGTGCGCAGATTCCCTGTGCACCAGGATGAAACTCCACGTGTGAAGTCAGCAAGTTTGTTCCTTCAGCTCCTCCAAGGCTTGGAGGGATCCAGGGATCAAGCCCTGTTGCAGAAAGCAAATTCCTGGACTAAGTAAATGTGAGCAGCGCATCGTGTAATCATGCAAAGCAAACTCCCAGCTGAGGCATAGATCATAATTTCACAGCATGAGCCTGTAAGTAACACAAATCCCACTCTAAATGCTCTGCTACCCCTCTGCCCCCATTGCACCCAGCTGCTGCTGCCTAGCACGGAAGTCCTAGGAGCTGAACACCTGGGCAAGAAATGCTGTCCCCGAGGAACAGGATTTGATGGATGCTGGTGCTATAAACCACTCTGAGATGCCAGGTTAACACACCAATACAGAGACCCTGGGCATACTTGCAAGACAACCTCATGTCTTAAAATCCACCAAGCTCTTTTTAAGAGCAAGTTTCCAGGTGGGCTTTACTAACCATGCTGCTACAGCTCAGCAAAGCAACGTGAGCACCCATGAAGGTCCCCAGCTTGGGGAACAAGCCCTGTGGCCAGCATACACAAGCCCACCTTGGGCCTGAGACCCCGGGTCCTGTGCTCAAGGCAAGCACACCACTTGGGAAGTTTAACTCAGTGTCAGAGCAAATACACTTTTTCTGGAAACAAGGGTGTCTCACCATGGTTTTTGCTTCAGTGAATGCCCGTCTCTGAAATGTGTCCTTTCTGTGGCAGGAGAGAGCCCTGCCTGCCTCACAAACCCTTTTTTCCTATTAATTCTGGTGGTCGCTGCTGGGCTTGCACCCTGCCTCACCTCTGCACTGGTATTTGCACTCCCACTGCAGAGGGTCACAGCCTACAAGGGGGCCCATCTCTGGCCGTGGCATGCAAACTGGGGCAGTTAGAAATAAGAGGAGAAAAAAGATATCTGTGGATTTTCCCCCAAATAAGAAATCCTTTCCCTCCACTAGGTGCTTGTCACACTCAGCGCCACAGCCCAGTTTGCTTCACCTCTGCTGAACTGCAGCATGTGTAGGAACCAAGAGCAATCAGGTATCGGCATCTCCCTGGCTGCCCCAGCTGGGCCCGAATCTTGGATGTTCAACCTCTTTCGGTGGACTTCTGCTCCTGGGCCCATCTGCAGCACAGCACAGCGACATGCCCTCAAATGCCCAGGACACTTACAAAAAAAGAGCGGGGACTGGGGCATTATGCATTTATCACTGAACTAAGTTGCCTCTTCCTCCTCTGGGCCAAACTAGGTTAGCTTCAGGCCAGCGGTCACAGGAAGACAGTGATTAGGGTGAAAGGAAAAGGGCTTTTAGATAGTCCCATACATCTGTCACACTGCTTTTGCTCCCCTGTTGTCCCCATCCCAGCCACCACTGAAGCTCCCTGTCCTCAAGACTGCCTCTGGGAACGCAGTGGCCCAGTGAAGGGCTCTGTTTCCAGCTGTGATGCAGGCCAGGCATGCAAGCAGGGGTATTTTTTAGCCTCTGTCTCAGCTGCAATGGTAAAGGTTAATACATCCCCTCCTGTATTTGTTCAAGAGGCTCCAGAGGGAGGAACAAAGCCTCTTTTGCCTATTTAAATGCAGCAGGAGGAGAGGGGAGGTGGCTATCACACATCACATCCAGACAGCACGTCAGCTCTGCTCCCAGTGTGTCTGATAACTACAATTACTGTTGGAAAGTAGAAGGAATGGTGAATACCTACTGTTGCCAGGTAACAGCATCCACCGTGCTGCCAGCCACTTTCATGAACCTATAGGAAACAGAGGAAGAAACCATATAAGCCTAGTGTTGTCACAGGGGAAGTCCTAAAACAACTGATACCCATCCTGCATCACAGGATACCAAAGGCAGTCACCACTCTCACAGACCCTTTCTAATGAAGCCTTTGTATCCTTACATGGAATGAATAAATTATACTTAATACAAATGCTTGTGGCCATCATAGTTGAGAATAACGAAACGAAGCCCAACTCACAGCAGAGGCTCTGAGCATCATTTTGGAGCAGCTAGGGAGAGCTCTCCAAGCACAACAGCATTTCAGGAACACGATTTTGGGGTGTGTACTTAGTTCTATGACTGCAACAACCCTCAGCAGCAATTAAAGTTTTAAATACACATCTTAATAGGAGGCGCTTATTCACCCAACATGTATTTAAGCCAAGGAACTCCTTCCCTGGACTCGAGCAAGGACTAGCAGAATAGAAGAAAATGGAAGAAAAACTCAGTAAAGCTATTAGATGCAAAGATGCCATCTCAGGAAGCCCCTGAGCATTGGAGAATGGGAGGAAAGGCTGGACAAATACTTCTACATGCTTCCCCTTTTTTGATGCTCTTTCTTTGGCATTGGCTGTTAGCAAACTGATGGGATTCTGACCTGGGTGCACTTGTGGTCTGTCCTGCTCCTATACCTAACCACAGCACTTCCACGTATAAAGTTACAGTGAATTAAGTGTATATATTAGTCTCCTGATGGCCTGTGACCCAACTATCCTAAAGAAAATACATGTCCTCCAGCCAGCTTCTATTTGAGTCAGGCTCCAGGCTACACAGATGTCTCTGCTTACACCGCCAAAACCAAACCAATTTCTAATTCTGGGGACCGTATGCAACCACTGCAGCAGCAGCCTCTAGCATGGGCTTGCTGCCACCCAAGACAGTCCCTTCCTGGCTCCCTGGCCCAGCAATCCAAACCGCACCCTGGAAAACTGCAGCTCCCACAAGGAAGACCAAGCCATCACTATATTTTTATGCTTAGGAGCACAGATATGAAAATGCATAAAAGCACACACCAACCAGACAGGCGTGCTTTTCTGTTCAGTAGTGTAACGTGTGCTGAGTAGCTGATGCATTTTGGAAGTGATGTGTGCACATGAAGGCAGACATTGGCTTGAGCAAGTGAACGTGATGAGAAAGAAACCAATGCTCTGTTATCTTGAGTTGCTTTTTGATGCACGGGGATTCAAGGAGCACAAGAAGAATCATGCAGCTGTCTGGACTGCACTGGGACATGAGGATGAGTGTGTCCTGCAATCGCAAATGCCCCAGGACAGTTCCTGACTGGGGGTGGGGAAGGAAAAGGAAGGTTTGTGAGGACAGATGAGGCCTTCTGTCAGCTGTCATGGCAGGCAAGAACAGCAAGCTTTCCAGCACACGAGCCTCTAATCAGGTCTGAAACAAGAGCAGCAAACTTCAGGCTAAATATAGCTCGGAAACAATAATTCTGACTTTAAATTAATGATGATGGTCAATTATAGACCAGGACAAAAGGGCAGCTGGACCCTGTGAAGCATAAGAGGACACTGCAAAGGCAGCGGTAATAAATCCCTGCAGACAGAGAGGAAAGAGATGCAATTAGAAATGGAAAAACAATAAAATGCTGTAAAACCCCATAGCACTGATGCATCCCTGATTCTGCTGCCTAGCAGTGCTGTGAACTTCAGTTCCCAGGCTTGCCTTTTAGAAATGCTTTTACAACTCTCCTGAGGGTCAGGCCAGCGCCGGGGTGGTGTTTTGGGAGCCCAACTGCAGCCAGAGGGAGAGGTGCAAGCTCCCCGCAACTCATACAGGTCATCTAGGGGAAAAGGGATTTTGCAGATATTGCTGTGAAGAGGCTGCTCTTCTACAAATCTAAGTATGCAGAAATATGCCAAAGGGATCAAAAAACCCAACTCCCAGGCTTTAAATGCTCAGTACAGGAACTGTTGTCTAAAGTGTAAAGCATGAAGTGTACAAGAATGAACTAATGAACTCTAAATTGAAATTATGAACACAATCTATATTGGGTTTGAAGACTGATATATTACAATTTGGTTTGAAGATTAGCCCAGCTTGTTTTCAATGCTTCCTGTTTGGGCTGCAAAATGAACCATCCTGGACTTTAGTAAACCACCTCTGCAGCCTCAGCTTGGCACTCTCCACTCACAACCCAAAACTATGAGCAGATCAAGTTCAGAGGAAGAAGTTCTCTGGTTTTCCTTGCCACTTCCACAGTTGCATGAGCAAGAGAGGAAAGCCCAGGGCAGGTGGAGATGCAGTGATCCACAGGTATCCCAATATCCTCAGTTTAGGAATACAGATGTTACTGATCCTTTTATTCCTGCAGCACCTGTGCTGCTCAAACCACAGATTTTGAGGCCAGTGAAGATCCATACGATCCAAAAGATCAGTGCTGGCATGTTTTTATCAGGGATTTCCTGGACTGCACGATGTCCATGTGTGCAGTGTGGCGCAGTGAGAGCAAACCAGATGCATCCAGGAGGGCTCAGATCCCTGCACATGTGCTGCACAGATGGGCTGTGCTGGTGCAGTAAATCTGCCATTTTCCTACACATTGGGCTTTCTCTGTGAGCATCAATTGACCACGCAGTGCAGTGCAGTGAATTCCCCCCCCCAAGAGCAGTGGGACAAGCTCAGTCCACACTGATCAGGAAATATGGGCAACTACTGTAGCAATGCCCCATAATTTAGGCAGGTGGCAGCCGCAGGGCATGCCCATATGGTATCCCTGCCTGGTTTTCCACATATCAGAAACCTGAGCAAATGTAAAAGTCCTCAAAATCTGCTGTGTCAGCATCTCTAGGTGGGAAAGCAGAACATGACAGAGATGGGTTTGTGATACTGAGGATGAGACAAAGCCACTGAGCTTGGATACATCCATCTCCTTACACTTGCATCTGCCCATTTCACACCAGCATTACTGCTTGCGGAGCCCTGTGTTGAGCTAGAACTGAGGTTCAAGCTTGTTTTTAAGTAAGCACCAAGAAAAATCTAATTTAATATTTCTCAGTCACCCAAACAGTTCACAGCTCTGTCCCAGAAATGGTAATACTGGCACAAGCTGGGACAGCACTTCACAAGTCAGGAATCAGCTGTAGGAGAGTGGGACAAGAGGGCTGCAACTACGAGATGGTACAGACACCAAAACTCCATACTGTGAAAACATGGCTGAAATTTGACCTCTCCCAGAGCATCTCCCAGAGCCACAACTCCCAGGACCACAGATTGAATGTGGTCACGTCTCTGAAATAGATCTCCTGTCCTGATTCAATACTTGCCAGTCTCGGAGCACCTACTGCAACCTTAAGCAAATTGCTCCCATGGTTAATTAGCCTCCAAGAATGTTATTTCTAATCTGAATGTGTTTGGCTTCAGCTTCCAGCCGCTGGAACACTCTAGGCTTATTCCTGATACATTAAAGAGCCATCTGCATTTGGAAATGTCTTTCCCATGCAGGTAATTGCAGACTGTCATCCTTTAAATAATAAAAAATTGATCCTGTAACAAAGAATGTGGCTGCACAAGAATACAAGTTACCGTCACACAGGCTCCCAGATGCGTTAGCACTGTGTGACTCCTAGGTGCTGGACTTCACAAACACAGGTTATTTCATTTGCTACTCCCTGGAGTAAAGCAAGCTGACACACACACACCCCAAAAACCCTAAATGTAGGAGCAACATTGACCTGTCTGTGGTGGATCCCTAGAGCCGAGTGGCAGATCTCTGCCCTTTGAGCTGACAGTGATGGGTAGAAATAGCTTTATCTTGTGTCTGAATTGGTTGGTGAGGGGGACTAAGGCACAGCCTTCACTCAATAACTTCTTCAGGATCCACTGGCACAAACACCTGCAGCAGCAGAGACAGGTGACCATGACCCAACTCATGCCACCTGCTGCAAAGACTTCGGCCTGCAGTGCCAGATTTCAGGCAGAGATTTCACTCTGAGGACTACATACAGATCTGCTGCTGTATTGTATTCTCTCTCTGCTCAGCATTATCTTTCTTCAACCAACCTGACCTATAGTAGGGCTGCACAAGCCTTCTAGCAAAAAGATCTTTATGTCCTAGATGGTCCCACTCAGCCTTGGTAGTCTGCACTCCAGGGACTCTGGAGGTTGTATTTGGACCACGATGTTGCATTACCACTGACACTTCTTCCCATCATTGATTTGATTTTCTGAACACACACCTCTGGCCTCCACAATACTCTGTGACAATGACTTCTACAATACCATTGCATACCATGTGAAAAACCTTCCTCCTTCTTTCCAAAGCTTCCTTCCAAACTACTTTCTGCACTGTAGAAAAAACACCCAATTCGCAGGCTCATGGGCTTCGATAACACTCCCTCTGAGCTGTCTTCTGAGCTGCAGAGGCACAGCTTATTTAATCTCTTCTCATGTGAAGACATCACATAGCTCTTCACATCCCTGGGTCCTCTCCCTGTAACCCTCTTGGTTCTATTACAGCTTTTCTGAGATGAAATGACTGAGATTGTAGATAGCAATCAGGATGAAGGTACACTGTGTACTTACACAGTGGCATAATCTCATCTATGTCTTTCCTTACCCATTTTTTATTTCTATACAGGTGACTGTGATTTTGACATCCTAGCCATCCAGATCAGATTTCAGCAACAACTATCTTAACCCTTTCCTCTTGAGAGAGCAACAGCTAAATCCTTTGCTTATATCTCAGATCCTCGACTCTGCTATGTAACCAACAGCAAAATGTCTCATCACATCCTTCACACCTCATTTCAATGTATTTATGAATGGATTCACTCTTAAGTTCAGTAATACCAGAGCTTGAGTTCATGCTGCAGTGACCTCCTCCTCCCTTTGTATCAACAGTTTAATGTTGCTTGTCTTGTGGCTTCATTTTTTGCACAAAATTCTTGCTCTGGACCTATTCAGTGTCCCGGTACAGCCTTTGCCACCACATTTGTGGTAGCTTGCATAATGGTGAAGCTTCTGGCTCTGCTGACTGAGACACACTTTCCTCTGTGAATCTTACATTAAGGATGCGCTTTTTTAAAAAAGAGCTTCTAAAAGGTGCAGTGCTTACAAGTCCCCTGCATTGAACAGAGCAGAAGTCCTTGTCAGCAAGAACACAAGACAAATACCTACATTTCTTCCTGAAACCCACCCAGAGTCCTTCCCTCTGCCAGATATCGCCTACCAGGCTCTCCGTGTTCCTCTTCCCTACTTGAATTTAAACAAACAAGCTCTGTCCATGCACTGTCTTTGACTGCTACTACAGAACAAGTTGTGGGTAAAAAGCAATGTCTGGACTGACTGATGTGTGCTGACCTGCTCAGACTGCCACAGCCCTCTTTGTCCTCATGATGGCACGGACAGAAGGCATGGGCAGTCATAATAAAAATGCTACTAAAGTCTCTCCCATTTTTAGCACCTTGATTTTGCTTTGGTCTCTGGTTCTGATGGACTCAAAGTGTACAGCCTGTTTCATTTCATGTGGTATATGCTAACACCTCTCTCTACCACATAAGTATCAACACAGAAACCTGGGCCTGGGAGGTTAATTTGTGGATTCAGGGAACAGGGCTGAGAACTGCAACAGGTTTTAACCACCTGTAGGGTTGTCTACAGATAACCAAGACATCAACTCCACACCCCCTCCTGACCCTGCCATGTCCACAGCTGGTAAGGAGGAACTCTTCATCACTGCTGACAAACGTGCTTCTTCACCTTTATGGGCTCCTTTCACAGCACCGTGGAATGACATTATCACCAAAAGGAGCCAAAGGAACCCAGATGAGTGGTTAAGTCTCCACAGGTACCAGGAGCAGAAGGCAGTAAAATCATGAAGCATGAAAAGCTCTTGTGCCTTCTGAGGTGAGGGCTGACATGTGAGAGCTTCCTCATCTGCGGCTGCCACCTGGCCAGAGCTGCTGCGGCTCTGTGAACAGAGGGTGGACATGCAATCGTGACAACAGCAGCCAGAAGGGACCAAGGAGGCTGGAAAGAGGGCAGAAATAGAAAACCAAGGAGGCAGCAGGTCTGGGGGCTCTAAGAGGTGGGGGATGAGGATATGGGGAAAGGCTGTATTTTCAGGCAAGAAAGATTTTCACTTCTCTGGTGACTTCAGCAGGCTCAGGACCCAAACTGGTCAAAGAACATCAACAACAGCCAGCGTAGCATGGACCCAAGTGCCTACGAGCCCATTTGCTTCTGTCACTGCAGCTCCTGCCATGGTGGAGGTAACACCTCAATGTTTATGTGTGTCCAGTGGCAAAAAGTAGGCTACACCAGCTGAGGAACAACAGGTCATGAGAGCCCCTGGCCAAATCTGCCCAGACGTGTCAGCCTAAGTTTTGTACCAAATGTTCTGAGCTTTAACATGTGTTAGCATCTCTTCTTCCTAATAGCTTTCCCTTGTGTTTCTTCTCTTCCAGCACCGTATGTATGACTCAGTCATGCATTAACCTTTGTGTCTGATTCCTGATCTGCTGTTAAAATCCATGTTAATTCCTTAGAATCCCACAATTTTTTCCCCAAGCAAATTCTGAGCAGTTCTGGGATTCCTGTACCCACAGACGCAGTAGGTAGCTAATGTGGTCTGCTCTCCAACAGCTCAGGCTGCGTGAATGGTCTAATTAACACCTCATCAAACTCAACTGTTGGTTGTGTCTGGAGAAATTCCCCCTTGCACCTGTGCATTCACAAGACACCATTTCTAGCCTCCAACACAGCAGGCCACGGCCATCAGAGCAATGCTCCATCACTGCAGAGCCTGTCCTTGCATCAGCAGTATCGGTCCTGGTCCAGTCTCCAGGACCTGCCAGCCTGTAGTGACACTGATATGCTCTGGAGGTGCTCTGAGCCACGGCACCATGCAGGGTCGTGCAAGAGCTTGGAAGCAATAACTCAGCAGTGAAGTCTGTGCAAAGCCTGTACTGATACATTTCAGACAGGGGTCTCCTCCCCTCACCATCAGAAAGTGCATAACTTTCATCCAGCACAGCTCAGTGTCACCTGCCTAAGGACAGCCTTTGCAGTGGGACAGCGTGCACGCACCCTTATATGCTGCAAACCTTCAAGTGTCTGGTCTGCACTCATCATCTAGCATGTCTAGCAGACCCCATGAGGAGTTCAGTCCCATTCTGTCCTGGAGGACAGACCCTAGGATTGGGTCAGAACAGCCCTGGAAGTGCTCCCACCACTGAGACAGACAGAGCCCGGTGCATAGCAGAAAGCAACACAAAATTCATGTTGACACTACCATTATTGCAGGACAAGGTTTAAACATAAAGAATAAGTTTAGCCTGATTGCTTGAGATACTGGTTAAACAATGGACTACAGTGTTTGGAACACAGAGCATGCAACAAGAAAATGTAATTTTAGGTAGTACTTCACAATGAGACTTTTCTCTGAGCGTTACAGCACCTCAGGTAACTCTAGATGCTTTTCCTGGAGAGCATCTAACACCAGCTTCTACTGTCAGAGAGCACTCCCTGGACTTCTCTGAGCTCTCCTTTCCCACTTCAGCTCATTTCCATTATTTCTCTTATCAAACAGGGCACTGCTTGCCTGGCAGACCAATCCACCCATTCTGTCTTTTATACTTCATCTCTCACCTCCAGTCCTACGTAACACTTCAGTTGTAAACTTCTACTTGCCATATCTCTTCCTACCTAGTTGACTTCTGCAGTTCATCATGTTTTTTAAAATAAGATTTGCAGATTTTGCATTATCAGGACTACTAACTGCACACACTTTATTTGCTCTGGAGCCTTCATCCTACTATGAGTGCTACAAGGACCACTCACGGTGGTCTAGCAAGGCAGACAGCAGGCTTGCCATTGAGAGCACCTTCCTAAATTCCTCCTCCTCCCTCCTGCTTGCTGACTGTGTGGGGCTCATTCAGGATCCCCAGAGGCACGTGCTGGCTGTGACAGCCCCAGGCACACGCTGAGCTGCATCTCATTGACCAGTCCTGCGATGCTCCTGCAGAAGGCAGAGCTCTCAGTAGCAGTAACTGAGAGCACTGAAGAGACCTCAGGGAGCTGCTGGGAATAAAGCTCATGCTGTCAAGCAGCTCAGGCACTGGGGTTTATTTGCTTGTCCTTTTGCAACTCCATTTCCAAATGCTGCAAATGAGCGTTCAGCCCTTTGTCTTTATGTAATCAGACTTGTTCCTCCTCTTTACACCCTGACTGCTAATAATGAGGTCTTTATGTGGAAAGACAAGCAGCTCTTGTCTCACAGGACCACATGGGCTGTAAGGCCGTGCAGGCACGTGCCGCTCGCCATGAGCTGCAGACACCAGGGTTTGGAGTGCAGGGATGGCAGCAGAGAAACAGTGTGTAGCTTGGAGAGCAGGAATAAAAAGCTCTTTCAGACCAGTGTGTGGATCAGGAGAAGCCCCACCATCCCATCACCAGGGCTGTGCATACCCCAGTTCTTCACTAACTTCCATTTCACTCCGGATGGTGTTTCTGCCATCCTCACTGTGAGACTGTACACTACACACTCACTCCCAGGGTTGCCATCAGTCAAAGTGTAGCTCCAGTGACACAGAGCCGCCAGACCACCCTGAACGTACAACTCAGCTC